ACGCGGCCTCAGCATGGCCGGAGAAGCGGTGCGTCGGTGCGCGCCCGGGATCCGAACCCGGGCCGCCAGCAGCGGAGCGCGCGCACTTAACTGCTTATTAGCAGTCTTTGAAGTCAGTTTCCTAATCTGTATTGAACTTTACGTTGTCCATATTCGGAGGAAGAAACAGGGTCACAAACGTTTTTTGGCCTTTCTTTTCTAGCTTCCATCGTGATTCAGAAATGGTGGTGTCACATGAATCCTTGTTTGGAAGGAGAGGATTGTAAAGTGCTGCCAGATTACTCAGGTTGGTCCTGTAGCAGTGGCAATAAAGTGAAAACGACAAAGGCAAGTATAGACAAAACACAACTATCACTTACAACTTCAGCACATTATTAGCTATGGGGTCCCTCCTTCATTTTATCCTGCCATCAAGAGGACAACATGATTTTATGTTGATAAACTTGCTCAGGCAATGCCACCCTATGACTCTGGCCTTCTGAAAAGCCCATTTCCCAGTGTCACCCTTTATGTCAGATTTCATAGAACAGTGATTTGGTGGGTGAACTTGTTATTTTAGGTAGGGCCACTAAATTCATTGTAGCTCCTTCTAAAGTTAAAGTTTCAGAATTGACAGGCCAGTGTATCATAATAGCATGGCAAGAGTCCATATACAGATGATTTGCTAAAGTAGAAATGCCTACTGCCTGAAAGGAGATTTAATGGTTGAAGACTCTAAATCAAGTCTTACACGTCAACCGTTTCCTCCCCAAATGGTCCTCTTTCCAGTTCTCCCTGTCTGTGAAGGGCACCATTGTCTCTGAAGGGCACCACTGTCTACCCAGTTCTTGAGCCAGAAATCTAACTTCTTCCTTATCTCCCCAGGTCCAATCTATTATTTTGTCCTTAGGATTGTTTCTCGCAAATCTCTCCATGAGTCTGTGTCACCATACTTACAACCCCCGTCCCGTCCACACTGTGTCTCATCTGGACTATTGAGTTGTTGCCTCACATCCGCTCTTGCTCCATTCTGGTCTATTCTCTACACGATGACTACAGTAATCTTTGTGAAATACCAGTCTTCTAAGCTTGTCCACTCCCGAATCTTTCAATGGCTTCTCCTGGCTCCATGGTCCACTAGCCCCTGCCTTCTGGCCCTTAATCGATAACCTGGCAAGCCGTCTCCCCTTCATTCTTTCTGCTCCAGTCTCTGTTGTACCTCTTACTCTGGTGCCTTTGCAGTTGCAAAGGAATGTGCTTCTCTCCTTTCTTTTCTAGTTAACCATTATTTCTTCCGGGAATCCGTCCCTGCTTGGATTCATGTCCCCTGTATCTCTGAGCATTTACCATGCTTACATTTTACCTGGATTGGTATACTATTTGCTTAATACCTAGAGCTTTCTGTCTTAGGGGAGAGCTGTGAAGTCAGGGCCCTTGTCTGTTTTGCTTACCCTGATAGTCCCAGAGCCAGCTAGTGTGTCAGTGACTATTTCTTGAATGGAAATTAATAAAACAGATCATTCTGGGGTTATTAGTATTAGACACACCGGAATGGAGTGACTCTTTAGTTCTGGTTTTTATCTAAGCTTTGCCCCCTTAGGAAGTATAATAATTCTTGAATGGCTTCTCATCTTGCTTACCTTTCCCCCTTTATGAGTATTTTGAATTACTAAACACTTAGAGTTCTCATTCATCTTCAGTCACTGAGGTCAAAAGCAGGTGAGTTCTCACCCTAAGTGTGTGTATGAGATATTGTAACAAGCAAGACTTTATAAAATATATATTTAAATATAATGCCATGAATATAATAAAAGATATTAAATCCAAAACATAAAATACTAGAAAGCAAGATTTTATAATAAATTTTAAATTAAATGTAAATTTCAGCTGACATTACCATACCCAAATTTATCAATAGTGTAGAAAGTCAGTTGATTAGTTCCTTATTATCTGGTTAAAAATCAAAATTTTGGGGTCGGCCTGGTGGCACAGCGGTTAAGTGCGCATGCTCCACTTCGGCAGCCCAGGGTTCACGGGTTCGGATCCTGGGCGCACAGCAATGTACCACTTGTCAAGCCATGCTGTGGCAGCGTCCCATATAAAGTGGAGGAAGATGGGCATGGATGTTAGCTCCAGGCCAGCCTTCCTCAGCAAAAAAAAAAAAAAAATCAACACAAGAGAGGAGGATTGGCATTGGATGTTAGCTCAGGGCTGACCTTCCTCACACACAAAAAAAATCAAAATTTCAAAATCAAGACTATTTTCAACATTAATTACAATTATCAACTAACCTGTCCTTGTTAGTGATATCAAGATGACTAAGATAAATGACCTGATATATGCTTTTATATCCAGGGCAGTGGAAGTTCATGGAGTCATTTAGTGGCGGAGGAAGGAAGTTAACACTCCCATCATTTCTAGCAGCTCCTCTTCTAAGCCACTCCCAATAGACTTCCAATCTGTGTAAACCCAGGTGTGCTTGCTAAACAAACCCTGCCTTAAGATAATTCCACATCCTTTCTCCATAGCCCCTTTCAGCCATTATTCCCTTCCTGAATAAAAATCTCGTAGTTGCCAATGAGGTAGGGTCTTACATCCATCAATGATAAAATTTTTCTTTCATTGTATTTCTTGTAGACTAAGAAATAACTTTTTGGAAGATTATATTTTTATTGATTCTTCCATATAAATATAAAATAAGATCATGAGCACCAGCCAACTGAGTTCCGGAAAAGCATGTGTCTAATCTCTTGCTATAACAGCTGCTTCTCTATTTATGTGCAGTTAGAGAGGGCATTTGCAGGAAGCAAACCTTTAGGGGCATTTGGCTCTGTGTGCTGGGAATACGTGTGCTCTAGCGAAATCCTCAACGGCAGTGACATTTCATTTAGCACTTTGAAAAGCTGAAGAAACAGAAGACAGGTCCCCAAGCCATCGTGATACTTAGCTGGTTTTTTAAAGAATGATACGCCGCTTGGGAATAATCTCGAAGTCGTAAAACTTTGTTTCCTTTATTAATCCAAGTCCGTGTGACTTGAACTGCATAAAACATTTTATGCCTTTTGTGGATCTTATGCACATAGAGTAAATTCATCTGTGGAGCTGTGACTGGCTTCCATGAAGAGCTTGGTGCCCACAGAAGCTCTATCTTTTTCTTAAAATCGACACTGACCTTACACCATAGGTGAGACAGAGGTCCTATAAAGGCAGAGCAGTTGCCTCCCTAGCGGGGTGTTAACTATATAACAAAATAGTTTCCATTTTCCTTAACAGTTCATGCATAGCAGCATCAAAACACAGAAAGGCTAAGAAGTAAGACTGTCTGCAGTAAGCCACCTATGTCAGAATTTTATTTTCCATTTAAATGCAAATATGAAAAGAGCTAGCAGTCAATTTGAGATATTAATAGCCTTACATGAAGATATGAAAATGAGAGGGGACAATTCCCTAACCAGTCATCTTGTCTTTCCCAAGTATAAAAGGTTGGCATGAAGTTTATTCTGCCTGTATAATGTTTAATATCCCCAGAGAGGGTGTAGCTACTACTTTTTTGTGGAAAAATACAACTAAGTCTCTGTCGTCCTGCCTCAATTTTCCTCTTCTTAATTTAATTCTGAGTCTTACTACATACACTGCGCTAAATAATTCTTCTGTATTTGAGTTGTGAGTATTAAGTCTCTTAACAAGTGCACAATGTCTTCTTCACACCAAAGCCAACCATTTGCCAGGGTTTTTTGTTGTTTGCAAGTAGAAGTAAATCGCATTGAATTTTGAAAAATTTTAGATTTTTTAATGTTCTTATTTTTAAAACATCTACTAAGGGTGAAGAGCTATGTCTTTAGAGCAGTAGTTCTCAACGAGAGGCAATTTTGCCCTGAAGGGGACATTTGGCAATGGCTGGGGATATTTTTAGTTGTCACACCTTGGGGAGGGGTGGGGTTCTATAGGCATCTAGTGGGTAGTGGCCAGGGCTGTTGCTAAACATCCTAAAATGCACAGGACAGCCCCCATCACAAAGAGTTATCTGGCCCCAAAGGTCAACAGTGCTGGGGTTGAAAAACTATGCTTTAGAGAATATTTTTTTCAGTGGCTCTTTGCAAGCATCCTAACTGTGATTGTCTTACTTCATTTTGTTCTTCCAAGTTCCCATTAAGTGTCTAAATGTTTCCAATATTTCATATTGGAAAACTAAAGGTAAGAGTTAAGAATTTAAACAACAGGCTTTCTTTTCAGTACCTCCCTAATCCTCAAGATCTAAGATGACCAGGTCCTTCTGGTATCTTCCTCAAATGGCTCTGTGTCTGTTGGGCTATCACCATAGGTCATCCTTATCCTCTTTTACCTCAATGTTAGAATTATTTGATCGTATCAGTGGCTACAGAAAAATCATCATGGGAACTTGTTAAAAACACGCTGTTTTGAACCTCACTTCTAGGATATTCTGGTAAAGTCAGTCTGTGATGGGGATTAGAAAACCATACTTTTAAAAGGTTCTTAGGGTGATTCTGATGACAAGCACTATGCAGGAACCACTGGTTTGACTGAGCTCCCCACCTGCTCTCTGTTCTTGCCTTTAACTGGCTTATACTCGGCTTTCTGTGCCACCAGGGCAAACTCCTTGCCCAGATTCCTCGGCTGCTGAGAGACCATCAGTGGAGTCTCATTGGTAACTGATAGAAAATACAGAGTATAAGCATCTTGGGATGGGCCTTTACTGCCATGTGCCAAATAAGCCATATATTTCCATATCTCATTGCCTTCCTCTTCATCTCCTCCCTCTTCTAAAATTCCACTTGTCTTTCAAGATCTAGATGAGATTGCTCTTTACCCTGATGTCTGGTCTTTCCTGATCCCTACAGCCGGAGCTTGAAATATTCAGGGCACCCTGCCACATGACAGCAGGGCTAATATTGACATGTCAGCAACATTTTATCCACCAAAATTCCAAAATAACAATGAACTTTCCATATACAATCAGAAAAATAAAACTTGTAAGGGAAAATAAATCTGAAAATATCTTATCATCCAACTTTAATTGTAGATAGGCTCCAAAATGAGCTGGGCATGGAGAATGAGCTTCCTCAAATGAGATGCTTCTGAGAGTTACATCCTAGAGGTAGATTGATACTTGGCTGTAAAAACTGTTAGGTTATATAGGATGCATGATAGATCCAGAGAGAGCTAAGATGACACTAGCCACCGTTTCCTGAGTGCTAACCCCATGACAGGCACTGGGCCATGTACTTCATTTCACGTATTTCATTCACTCTGACTGAAGGGGGTGGGTGCTATTTTTTCCATTTAACAGATAAAGAAACCAAGGCAGAGAGAGACAGTCCTCTCCATCTCAGAAGATGACCAACTCCATCGTCTGGTTACTCAATCCGAAGACCTTGGAGTTGTCCTTGATTCCACTTTGTCTTAGATCCTTTATCCTTCTTGTCACAGGTCCTGCTGGCTTCACCTGTCATCACTTCAGCCAAAGTGACCCCTTTAGGTTGACAGTCTGGCCATGCATTCCTTGTCTCATCGTTGTGCCTCAGTCAGAGAAAGGCCCCCTTGCATGGACCCTTCCCTGAACCGTTCTTCCCCCAGATAGTCAGGGATCCCTCCTTTCCTTCAAGTGTCTCCTACAAATATCTCCTTTCCCGAGAATCCTCTATGTAACAGCAGTCTTCTACCCTCCCTGCCCTAGTCTTTCTTTTCTCCATTATATTGCTTTACTTGTCTCCATAGCACATTTCACCTTTGGACAGACTATTTATTTACCTGTTTTTCCAGCTCTTTCCTCTAGAGTAGGAGTCAGGAAGCTATGGCTTGTGAGCCAAATCCAACTCTTGTCCTGGTTTTTTTTATGGCTTATGAGCTAAGAATGCGTTTTACATTTTTAAATGGTTGGAAAAAATCAAAAGGAATATAATATGTCGTAACACATGAAAATTATATGGCATCCAAATTTCAATGTCCATAAATAAAGTATTATTGGAACCCCAGCAGTGCCCATTAGTTTATGTATTGTCTTGTCTGTGGCTCCTTGCATGGTGTGAAGGCAGAGTTGAGGAGTTGTGACCGTGACTGTATGGCCTGCAAAACAGAAAATATTTACTGTTTGGTGTTTAAAAAGTGTGTCAATCCCTACTCTAGCTGAACTGCATGAGGACGGGGTTCATGTTTTGTTTGCTGTGGTATCCCCAGCACAAATAAAAGAGCAATTATATTGTAGAATATATAAATAAAGGCCATAGGTCAGTTAAAAGCAAATCTTTTTAATAAATACCTGATTGGGTTGAAAGCCCAGGCATGATGGCTATGCTATCAAATATAATTCACTTTGCAAATATTTTCATGGTATAGACATGTTAAAGTCTTATGCTTTTATTTTTCTTTTTCTAGCTGTGTATTGATTATCTAACCTGTAAAATTTCTTAGATGACCAAATCAAACTGCAGGTGTTTTCTTATATCATAAGTAATGACCCTGGGTGTTTAAAAATGGAAAAAACAACAACACATTTCTTAACGGATGTATGTTTCCACTAAATATGGAAGTTTTATAAAATAACCTATTTTTTAAGATGAAAGTCAACTGCATTAAGAACGTAACAAAGGCAACATTTTGATCTTGACATACACTGATTTTAATCAGCATTCATTTGAAAAAATGTTAGAGCCATTAACAAAGCGTGCTCAGCATGCATGAGTTAACTTGATGGGCAATGAATGTACCTAATCTGATGCGATTCTTATAACCCCACAAAATTCAAAGCTGGGTTGCATAATACCATGTTGTGGAAGCCTTTGTGCATGTTTTCTTTGCAACCTAAAAGCAAGAAATGTAAAGAATTTGATTTGAACAGCTGATTTGGTGAGGTTGGTTGCAGATAAAGGTGCAAAATGCTCAACTCTGTACAAATGACACAGAACAGGAATGTACAGGTCCAGTAGCAGGAAGGATTATCTTTGATAGATATGGGATGTGAATGCTCACTTGTTTAATTTGTTTTAGGTAACACGGTAGCAAAGAGAGAGATGTGCTTCAATCTTGGAGGAGCAACGGGATGCAGCGCTCTCTTGTTTGAATGACAGTCCTGGCCAGTTTGCAGGAAATTGTCTTGGATTTCAGCAACATCACATTTGCGTGTGTGTGCTGTGAGGAGTGGCATTCGGTTAACTGTCCCGGCCCTCTCTGCTTTATGACTTTATCACATTGAATTATAACCATGAGCTGCCACGCAATTGACATGCTATGTGGATTCCCAAGAAACATACCTCCGAGAAACTCTGGAGGAGCAAACCAGAGACTTCAAAATGGATCGCCACTGAGGGAATATTTGCTTTTCAGCTTCCTTCCGCCTCTACAAATATATGTTTCACAGGGTCCTCCTTCTGTTCCTCTTTTGAACTTTTTCTTTAGCCCTTGCATTAAAGTGGTTTGAAAGGGGTCTAAATAACAGAACATTTTTGCAGATGTAGATCAGTGAACTCTGATAAACTGGTGATGAAAACTTATTTTATAAACTTTGAATAGAAGGACTTATTGTGTGTGCATTTGTATTTTTGCTTTTGGTGGTTTAAAGTGTTTGCATTTTAAGTTCCATTGTCAAGTTAGCAAAAATAAAATGGGAGCATTTTAACTTCAGGGCACCATTTTACCGAGCGCTAAGGAAGCTTATCAACTGCAGTATTTTATAACCAAAGCTCTATCATGACATATTCACAAAAGAAATAAAACCTGTTGGGATTTTTATGGCTGATGTGTAGTCATAGAGGTAAATCATTTAAAATATAAAGCAGTCTCTGTTTAGATCAAGAGTGATTTCTTAGATCCAGTTTCTGTCAAGTATATTAAAATATTTCGTTAACTCCTAGAAAGGAGTCTTTAAATGCAGAATTTTTAAACTGTAAATGAATTATTCTTAGCTCTTTTCCTACTTATGTGTTAGTCATCTTATTTCTTTAAATATAAGTAAAATCTGAGTCATTTTTTTTCTTGGTTTAATGATTTTGCAGCAGACATGTCTCCACATATTCTCAGATGCTGTCATGCAAAAACATATTACAGATGAAAAGCAACTGACCCAGATTTTAAATGCATAATCTTATTAAAACACATACTACTGTAATATTATGGGATAGATTTTATATATTAAGAAATGCCAAAAACATACTTTCTGCACTAAGTTATCCCGGTCCTTTCACAATTATGGGGAAAAATAGTACTATAATATTGTTTATAGCAGTAACAATTACATCTATTTGATTTTATTCTCGCAGAAGGAATGGAAATTGGCAATATCCATTTGTTTGCTAAATTTGGTTTTAGTTTGACTGATTAGATGCTTACCAGAATTGTTACTCTCATATTAAGTAAAAAATTGATTCTGCTGATAGCATAAGTTTTTGTGATTATTTCATACCGTAAGACTTTGTGTTAACATCCTAGGCTTGCAAATTTTAAATGTAAATGTGAAAAATAATTTTTTAAAAAATAACATTTAACTTTGGGGTTGTTTACTGTATGGCAAACTTGGTACCTATATATAGATCGCCGCTTTGTTTCTTCTCCCAAATCTATATAGCATTAAAGAGAATTTAAAATCTAGGGAGATTTAATTAAGTTTAGGCACATTGATGATTATTTACGCATACTCTGCTGCCTTTCGTATAAGACCTTACATTGTATGAAGAGAGAGTTAAAAAAAAAATAAGATTTTATGGTATATGAAACGTCTTAGTTTTTAGCCACACATCTGATGTTGTACCCTCAATAAGATCAAGTAAAAATGATACTGCTTCACCCTGAGGTACATTTCTGAGGTGTAAACTACTTCCAGGGAATAAATAGTCCATTTGGGAAAATGGCAGATAGCAAAGCTGTCATTTCATCCATTATTGCTTTAAAGTGTACTTTTTACCTAGTTCACAAGTTAGCCCTGAAATGGTGCCTTCTTTGAGAAGCATTTTAATGTTATCATTCCTACTCCTTTCCTGTAGGGAATTGGATAAGAGACTTTTCTGTATTTTTACAGAATTTAAAGCAAAGATACCAAGAGATGTCAGTCATGTCAGCATTAGGCCCTCTACTTGGGACATGTATGGTCTCAACACCCATGAGACCTTCAATTCTTATGTCTTAGAACATGGAGCTGCTCAGCTAGGACTGTGGGCTCAGCCTGAGTCTCTCCAAAGGGACTAGCCACCTTGTAGGTTTTAGAGCGCTCCCTCAGGTCCCTATCTGCTGCTCCAGACCATATGCACCTTGTTAGCACCTGCCCTTGGAAAAGTGGAACTCTATTCATATGTTAAATTCAACAAACAATGAATGAACCTTCCCCAGACCTCCCATGAGTTGTTGGGGGAAATTCTCCATCTTTATACACTAAAATCCATTTTTCTACTCAATCTGGGAAGTCTTTGTGAATATTCCCATATTATAGAAGAGAATTTAGGACCCAGTAAAATTAAACTTGCCCAAACTCTCACAGCTAGTTATTATTGGCAATTATACAATGAGGAGTCATGAAAAAAGATAGGAAATTGTAGATTTATGTTTGAGTATATTTTAAGTAACGTCTATTATTACCTGCTTTATCAGGGTCAGATTTGTTTGTGTCCAGCCCCTGCACTCTGCCACTATCTCAGAATGTGCCAATACACTGATGAAAAACATCATACTGCTAACATTTTAAAATTGGTAAAATATTCACAGTTGGATTTCTACTTGAGTTTGAAAAAGTAACCATATTCTTTATTTATTTAAAGGATACTGTTGGCCTGGGGTAATATGAAAAAAAAAATTGAACGGCTCAGTAGTTGGACTTAGACTATAAGCACCTTTAAGGTTATATATCCCCCTGTGTGCATTGGCAGAACACCAGCCCTTCTCTACACCATCTTTTGTCAGAGGCTACATGAGGGCAGCTGTAGCCCTAGCATGGGTTACGTGGATTTCCAAGGTTTCTTGAAGAAGATGATGCAGCAACTGAGCGCGTATTCTCCCACATCAACGCTATTGGACAGAGAAGAGGCAGTGGCCCCTTCAGTGGGCGGGCACTTTACAGTCCAATGCCATGACTCGTTGGCCAGCTCCCTCACTGGAATTTTTGCCCATACTATGGAATTTTTTTTGGAAAGAATTTGTTGGTGCACAAGCTTAAGAATTGACTCCTGAAAATGTCAATGGAAACAACCTCACCAAAATGCCTATTTCATAGATAAATTCTCCAGGATTGGAAAATACTTCTTCACAAAATTCTTTATGATGGGCTTTTAGGGACCCACTGACCAAGGATGAATCCAGTGCTAGTCTGGTGACTAACTTCACCATTTAGGGTCTCTCTGAAATAGGCAAAGCAGTATTAAGAGTTTTACCTAAAACACGTGGATTCTTCTACACTAGGAGTTGGCACACTGTGGCTGGTAGGTCAAACCCAGCCTGCCTGGTTTTGTAAATAAAGTGTATTGGAACGCAGCCATGCCATTTGTCATGTGTCAGCTCTAGAT